TGTTTTCATTTATGTTTTACCTTTCCCAAATCCATGTCTGGCTAAATTAAAGTAATCGATATGTAATAATAATTCGGAAGGGATTTGACAATAACCGGTTGAAAATTGTCTTTTTCAAAAGTTGTTTATGGTCTGAGTGTTTAAAATTAATTTACTAAATAAACTTCGTCGCGAAAGCGAGAACTTATTTAAAAGTAGTTTTGCCACGAAAGTGGGAAATTAATTAAGGTACGAACCAACAAGCGAAAGTTGCGGCAAGACCAGATAGTAAACACTAGTCATTCATTTTAATAACAGCGAAAGCACTTTAAAATGAATTAGAACTTAGAGATCTCCAAAAAATAATTTTAACCCCGAATGGGACACGAAAGCGTACATTTGCCCCTTAGAATTATGATTAGCGTCAATAACCATCATGAGGCGAGAGTCTTCAGATCACCATTTTCTGCTTAAATAAACTCTGAAAAATGTTTCGTATACCGGTAACTTGTCAAATCCCTGAAGAACATAATTACTGCATATCGATTCAATTAATTATACTTTAATTAACATTCTTAGTTCCCTTTAGTGACAATCTTATTCCCTCAAACATTATCTACCTAGCTAAACATAGTAACTCCCGAGAACACTAGTTTGATTACGAGTCCCTGTGGGATCGATATCTATTATTACTACGCGATAGACTGTGCACTTGCAGTTAGGTTGTATTAGACATAGAAAGTCGCGATCAGTATTCAAGGTGGATAGGTGATCACATAAGCAGACTTTTTCAAAGAGAGATTTCCTGCAGTCTCCTCTTCCAAAGTGGGGAGTAACTTTGGATAGCATCCATCGCCCTTGAAATTTGTATTAGTGTCTTTGCTTTTTATTCCAGGATCAAATAAGAATCTTCGATAAGTAAAAGTGTCGCATTGGCACGTGAATGTGATCTCTTTTTTCATAACATTAAGAATTAGAGGATTAAAGGGTTGCCTCACTAATTTTCTTCTATCTTCCATCGAGGTCCATCCAATTCCCTTCTTATGTTTCTTCAAAACCTGCAAAAGCTTATTTTCTTGATCAAAATCAAGTTTAGAAGAAATTATAATTAGAAGCTTTCCATCCCTCTCTAAATAAGCATAATTCAGATTGTTATGGAGTGGTTTAAGCTCCAAGGGGGGAGGTTGTTCAATGGATGGTGAGGTTAGGGCAGCTGTGATGTCAAGAACTTCAGCTGCATAAACATCTTCATCTATAACTTCATTTGTATGAAAAATATCACCCTGCATGGCAGCATTAATCTCAACACAAACAGAGCAAATGTTAGTGTCGGTACATGAATCACAAGAGTAAAGATCATCATAATCTAATAAAGATGGAAAATTAGATAACAACTCAGGATAAATATCATCAACTAAATCAGAAGGAAACTCTTTTGGATTCACTACTGTTTAGACAGGTAGTTGGTTTGATTCTTGAGCTTGCTGGCAAGCTGTCCAATCTGTGTCTGCAAAACCTGAAGACTGGAATTTGTTTGTTGCTGAAACTGAATATCATTTATAGTCATTTGCTTGATAAGATCCTCTAGTGAAGGTTCGGAAGGTTTAAAGCACACAATTTGGAATTCCTTCATATGCTTATTCAGATCCTCACCTGCAAATCCATTAAACATTGGCAACAAGTTTATTAAACTAAATTCCTATTTGAAAGGTACAGTAACAGCAGGATATTTCGTACATAAAGTATTATAATTCATATCATGGGCAACAAGTTCTCTAAGAGTTCTTTGATATGTCATATTAAATTTAATTTGAAAAAATCAACAAAGAAAAAGAAAATCCATAACTACTTCAGCAATGCAACAACAATTAGGAAAATACCAACAATGTCCCTATTAAGAAAAAAAATGAAAAAAATAGAAAAGCGAATAAAATAAAATCTAAAAATTATGAAAATATAACTAAAAATCAAATTAAATCAGAATAAATCTCTACAAAAAATTTCGGATTTTTTTGAAAATATGAAAATAGAAAATAAATCAAATAAAATAGAAAAAATAAGGAATTTCCAATTTTCAAGGTCAAAATCTTTTAGAATTTGAGTATTGTTCGTTGATTCTTTTTTGAATTTTCTGGAAAAAATTCGGAGTAAATCGAAATAATAACTTTCAAACTCACCTGTTAGGCTGAAACGCTTACCCCTATTCTGCAACCCTGAAAATTAACACACAAAAACAAAAAACAAAAAACTCTAAAAAAACTCTAAAATTGGCTAAAATTAACAAGAATCCCCGGCAACGACGCCAATTTGATCCGTTGTCGCGCACAGATCAAAAACGAGTAATTTTAAGAAAATAGCTAGCGGTAGCGACAACTCGAGTATCGTTCTCACAAGGATTCTTGTATTATTTCAACCAACTAAAGAAAAGATTTATGGGGGTTTGAAGTTTTGATATATAAAATAAGAGAAAAAAAGTGATTAACAAATAGTGATTATCAAATAATCTAAAACGGCTAATCCTACTGATGCGGGTTCCGACTTATCATCGGCTTTTATAACACCAATCCCTAAGCGGCTTCAATCCTATTCGATTATGATATTAATCAGACAACCGCTTATAGTATACTAACATATCAATTCCAAATACAATTAAATTAAAACATTTCAAAAATTAACACTAAAATCTAACAGTTTCAAATTCATGAAAAATTTAGGGGTTTTAACCTAAATATATTTTTACCCATTAAACACTATCAAATAATCTCAATAATTAGATAAAAACTCACATTTACCTTGATTTTTCTTGAATTTCTTGAGCTTTCTCTTGTTTCTTCTTCTTCCCCGTTCTTCTTTCTCCTTAGCCTCTTTTCAACTTTCTATTTTTCTTCTATTCTATCTCTACTCTTTTGTTAACTCTAATAAAAGTCATTATCTATTGGGCTTTACTTAACTCATTCTCACTTTCTATTCACACACACATATAATTAGGTCCAATTAATTAATCTAGCAATTCTATATTATTCAACCAAATAGAATAAATCAAATAAATTAAATAATCAAATTAAATCAATTATTTCAAATAAGTTCAAAAAATCAATTAATTCAAACAACTCAAATAAATAATTTATGTAAATCTAATAAATCAATTAATTCATATAAATTCAAATAAATCACATAATTCAATTAAATTAATTAGGCATCAAAATCACACGATTAATTAATTAATATAATAAATAAATAAGTACTATAATTGGGGTGTTACAACCCTCCTCCACTTAAAAGATTTTTGTCCTTGAAAATTATCTCAAACATCGGTAATTTTCAAACTCGTAATTGTTTACCAAAAACATCGATAAACAAATTAACACACCGAGTGGGACCCTTTTGTGCGAATATTTTTGTAGAAAAGTAGTGTCTTACGTTTTGTTTTTGTGTCTTCTATTTTTGTGGTCTTTTGTGTTGTATGCATTTGAGGAATGGTAAGTGTTTTTCCAGTATGCCTCAAAAAAACCAAATCCCTTCCCAAGGTACAACTCCAAACCCAGGAGGACAACTGGTGATTATTAGTGTCGCCAGTTCTATGACTCTAACCTCATTCAAGGAGATGCCTACTATCATAACCCAAGAAGTGGTGTATTCTGTACTGCCATACGTGGGAATTTCATCACCACAAGCGTCCACCGTTTCTAAGGGATTACAAAATCCTGGAGACCATAGGCCTCCGTATCTGGACTTCTCATTGCCTCAAGAGGAACAACCATGTAGTATGCCATCCATTTATGTCCTCAACATCCACCATGGATAACTTTGGCCAACTAGAACAACCACTAGGCAATTCAATCATTAAACTTTGCGTACCGTTTGATGCTTCATTTAGACCATTTTGTTCTTTCTTTTGTGGTATGTCATTCCAAGTGTCTATCAAATAAAATCAAAGTGCACTTTCTCATTCTAAATCAATTACAATTTAATTCAATATAATCAGACTTAAATTATAAACCAAAAACCCAAAAATAAAACATACAAACACACAACAGAAAGATTTACGATGGCGGCTGCAGGTGATAAATTACTAGCTTCAATGTCTCTGTCATTAATTTGAAGCCCAACCACACATATTGGTTTTGTGTAAGTAGGGGCGGGGACTCAACAGGACAGGTGATATGTTCGATGCACCCGTCTCTGAAATGCCTTTGATGAGATTTTGTTCCCCATCTCGCGGGAGAAAATTTCTCATCTTTAGGACCCCAAATAGGAAAATTTCCGTGGGAATCCCACCAACAGAGGCAAGTTGCGAGTTGACATCCATAGTATTTATCTTGGTTTTTAAAGCTCACAATAGCGGTCATTCTGCGAGTTGACATCCATAATATTTATCTGGTTTTTAAAGCTCACAATAGCAGTCATGCTATCCGCTATTACATTTTGGGGGTTGGAGTCATTCTGCTATGCCATTGCATTTTAGGGGTCCAGCTCGTAGCTATCCGAGATTAACAACCTAGGTTAAGCACACTGATAACAAGCATAAATTTATTCTATTCCAAAGTCAAAGACCTGCCAAAATAAAATTGTAAATTTAATTTGCAAATGTCTAACTAAAAACACAAAGTTCAATGCGCTTGCTCCGAATAAACAATTGGTTTTACAGCACCAATGCTGTACAAAAGAGGGGAAAGAGTTTTACAGCACAGACGCTGTCCAAAGGGGGGAATAAGGTTTTGCTGCACTAATTTAACAACATAACCATGTCCAACAAAGTTAATGGCAGCTTCAACAAGTTCTTCCTTAAGGGTAGTCCACAGTGGCTTCCAAGTTCCAACACATTAGCCATCCTCTCCAAGCTGGTTCTTTCCTCTATCTCCATTTCTATGTTGTATGTTCACCAAAAATTTCCTAGTAAAGGAATGGCTTCCTGATTATGAAGAAAGCAAAAAGTGAATTGTATACTAGTCTGATCCAAGAAAATATTTTCTCAACATCAATGGCTATGATAGATTTATCAAATTATTACCTTGTTTTGTCTACTCAAAATCAAAACACTGTGTGTTCTCTGAACACTCCATGAACTCCATAGATGGATGCTTGATAGCGTTTCTCCCAAACCCATCACAAAAAGATCCAAATTCGTCTCCGTCGTCGTCGCTGTCAACATCCATTGGAGTCACACGATTCTGATAGCTTCTTTGTTGAATAAGATAAACATTGAAGTAATAGTTTACCATGTCTTTTCTTGTCTTCAATTGAAAGTCTTCAAATGTATTGTTCCAAAAATTTATCCAAAAAGCCTTCTTTTCGGAAGGGATATTTAACATCATGAAATCCTTAAATTTCTTTTCTTCTTCAGCTGTCCATTGAAGTGAAACCCCCTCGCCTATTCGATCAAATCCACATTGGTAAAATACAGAACCCAATTCAAGCTTCAGTTTCATCCTGTTTTCAGCAATATGAAATCTGACACAGTCAACAGAACCTTGAACATTGCAGCTACACTTACCTCGTCTTCCTCTCCCAGCAAGATCTGATTCAGTAGTAGCTTTTAAGTCATCCTCTTTAACAGGCCATACTTGTGTGCCCAACCATTTAGAGTCACTCTCAGAAGCTACACCAGTCCATTCTGGGACTTCCACTTGGAAACCATGACCTATAGAAACAAGTGTTTCATGAAGATCATCCCAAGATGACTTAGATTTTTTCTTTCTAGCTACATCTGGTTTAGCAGTTGATTTTTTCTTTCCAGTTACACCTGGTTTGGACTTTGTTTTCTCCAGAGGACATTTATTTCCGTAACCAGGATATGAATTGCAGCATCTGCAGCGAGATTTAAGAGCAACAGGAATCCTTTCACTACATCTCAATTTCTTTGTACCTTGGTGACCAAGAGCAACAGGATCCTCATACATGGCAGGATGCATCTTCACCTTCTGCAAAGCACACAGTTTCAGAAAATTTAGTAGATTTTTTCCAAATAACACTTGAGTTAAATAAGTTTCATCTTTAAGATATTTCCTGATAGCAAAAGTAATTTTCAATGTTTTGATATCAAAGTAATAAAAATTGCAGTGATTCATTGAATAATATACTGTGGAGGTTGCAAGAAATTATAGGGATTAAATACATTTCAGATATATCACTCACCTCTACAGAGCTTGAAGAAAATCTATATAAGTGATTAATGGAATTCATAGGAATTTATAGAGCCGCAAAGTAATAGAACAAAGATGATCTATTATATCATTTCAAATTACTAACCCATTATCTGAAAATTTATAGATTTTGACAAGATCGCCAGAGGGGTAACAGCTGGCTCTCAAACCAGCATAGCATGTATGTGATTGAAACACTCAACAACATTAATCCATCAGAACAGAAAAAAAAACTGAAAGAAAGAACATTTGATGATGCTAAAAAATCAATTAGGAGAAAAATTGCAAGGGAAAGAGATGAGGAAGAGTTGGTAAGGACACTTAGAGCAATTAGTTACTAAGGAAGTTAGTTAAATAGAGGGTAAAACAGAATGAAGGTAGCCCTTTAGAGACTTTTTTTTTTTACATTCGAATGTTTCTATAACCATTTTCCATTTCCCTTAGCTAGATTCCTATCAAAAAACAGCAGAGACCAAGGGTTTTTCCATTAGGACTACATGGATTAAATGACATCACAATGAAATATCATTTAATAGACCAAAGATAGATCATTTATCTCTAAACCTCTCAAAAGAATGGAGGTAGTTCTTGTATCAACCTAATTCTGGGACAGAGTTTGACTTGAATAAAATTCTATTACATTGTTAATCTTAATGCAGCTCCATTACAACCGCCCCTGCTTTTGCCTCAGTTCCCAATCTCCCTGTGACTAATACACCTTACTCCATTGAACTTTTCTATATAACCACGACACCACTAAAACCATATTTGCCCGTAGTCATAGAAGCAAAAAAGCAAGCAAATTTTAAGACAGGTTCAAGAGGAAGTGTGTGTATCAAGAGTTTAACAGTGTCATGTTTACGTAAAAAAAAAAGTGTGTGCATGTGTGAATAGAAAATCTTGCCGTTCAAATTCAGGTTACCCATTTCAAGTTGAACGGGCTAACAGATAAAAAGGTCAATTTAAGGTTACAAAAGTTTTGGTACAACCTGGAAACAACCCGTTTATGATTTTTATTTTCCAAATCAGCATTCCTTTTCAATTGAATTTGTACATGGAAAACCCAAACCTTGTTATACAGACTTCATTCATAGTTATTTACAGGTAGTATGTGAAATTCCCTTCTATTACCTCGGACTTAAGTTAAGTTCTACCGTACAGGGTTCACACCGTTGCATAAATAGGACAGGGTCAGAGTAAAGGCCGTTTCTATGACAATAATCTGTGACCACCAAAACTTACCGCTAAGTAAAGGTATGATCTCTTTGGAGGAAGCTCAATAACATCGTTATCGAACCAATATTCAGATCGTGAATTCGGAAGAACTATTTCCCAAATTATGCATTGAATCTGATTATAAATCATAGGATATATGATCAATAAAAACAAGTGACATAAGCAAAGCGAAAAAAAGAACAAAGGAGGTGTGATGTTACCAAAAACATAGTGTGCTAGAGCTGCTAAATGGTGATTCATATTTCAGTTATTTGGAATACTTGACTTCGGCTGATTCTGTCTTTTTTTAAAAATTAAAAAAATAAATTAAAAAAAGAAAACCTAACAGGCCTTTTGCAAACCGGGTTGCACGGCCCAGTCCGTTGCAAGGTTGTGTCCGCAACAGACTATGAATGCAGATTCCTATTGTGTACCCGCATCAATTGGTATTGATTGGATTCTTTGCTTTGTTTCTAGCTGATATATGACTTGTGTGTATTGTAGGATACTGATAACCAGGCACAATAATGCATTTGCAGCTCATAATGGAAATTTTTTAACGCAGATAATCTTTTTCACTCTTGTTAATAAAGTTGGATTTTTTTAATGTTTGACCATGATATCTTTCTTATTGTGAAGTGCCTAGGTCATAGATGTAATTTTGAGAGCAGACATTTTGTAGACCTAGCCAAAAAAATCTATCCAATTTCCGTACATTATCATTGCATTAACCTTTGTTGACATTTAGCGGTTAGCAAGCTGAGATTTAGGAAATAAACCAATGGATTGCAAGTATATATTCATTGCATGGACAGATTATGTAAATTGTATTGCTAATCATAAATACAATAAAAATATAACTAGCCATTCATGTGAAAACATTCTGGTTCAGGATATGAAACAACACAAAATCCAGTGGGCAAAATCATGTATAAAATCATTATATCCATTGAAATTATACCTGGTAGGATGATCCACTGTTTGGTTTGGAATGCTTTCTCACCAAGAGAACGTCCCTTGCCTTTAGCATCTGAACAAAGAAGTTCTGACCTCCTTTACACCCCTTCCACTTTGAAGGTTCTGGTAACGGTTGGGCTGCAGGATTAAACGGATGTTTTGCAATATCCCTCATCCAGGTTATCATTTCGGATAATGATTCTCGTTTGCGTTTGGGAGAATGAAATTTCTCTGCAGAAATTTCCACACGCAAGACATCACCATCCGTATTACAGAATTTTTCTTCATCGTCATTACCATCAATCTTAGGATTGGTTTTGCAGAGCCAGCCTTCGAAATCATTTAGATATCTATCATAAATCAATTTGACCGAAGCCAAAACATGAAGGTTCAAACCCAGTTCAACTATCACAGAATCCCACAATCCTTTTCTAGATACCACATCATACCCACCATTTTTCTTTACAAGGGAGAAAAGTTGGTATAAATCAAGCAATTGACCGTCACCGAGCATCACCGGCACATGCCTCACATTGCCTCTACTACAATTCTCTTTTAGGTAAACCGAAAAAAATTGACAAAACAAAGATTTTTGTTTAGTTTTGTCATGATCAGTGCTATCAACACAATTCTCAACAAGACAACTGCTGTTTTCATGAAAATCAGTAAAAGTTTCAGCTTCAAGGCAATCAAGAGAAGACTCATTTGCCATGACTTTTGACTCTCTAATCTCTACTCCTATGTTTGATATGTTTTGAATTGGATCTCAAAAATAAAGGAGGCGGAAAAAAAATGAAGTTCTAGCTTGCCCTTTTGTGTATATTTATGATACAAACACATAACAAGACTTTAAAGTGAAAGCTGATTAAGATGTAATAAGTATACACAAAATTGACAAAATGGTATAAAGGGTTGTCACCATTTGGTATTTTATGAGCAGATTTGCCTAATGATCAAGACAGATCTCTAGCTGAAAACTAATACATCACAAAAAACGGTGGTGACCGCAATGAAATGAAGGGTTTCAAGACGGTGTGAAGAGATAGATACAATTACTTTACTAGATCGAAGCTGAAACCTGAAAATGATTGATAACTGATAGTGGCGGTGGTGATACTAACTTGTGCTGCTGTTGAATTTCAATGTTGCAATGAAAAAGGCGAGCTGAATTTGAAGTATCATTCAAAAGGATGAGAAATACGGCGCAAATATAAATGACTAACCTTGAGAGATAATGAGAATAAAACCCTCCTCTTCTCAGAGTAATTCTCTTAGTTCCAAACAAAAAAATATTACATTAAAAAAACCAAACGATTAATCAGACTTAGGAGGATGTATCGGGTCAGATCTTAAAATGGTATTTCCACATTTAAAAGTCATATTTTAAAAGACATTATAAAAATACAATTTTGCAATTTCAACTGTATTTTAATAGTTGTGAAGAATTTATAATATTTGAAATGACTAATAAATTTATATTTTTTCTAAAAAGGTCTAAATAAATATTATCAAAGCGAATGAATTAAATTTCCTTCTAGAAGAAAATTGGAAAATGTATTGTGACTTATATAAATTAAACTTAGTAGAAAAAAATCTTTTTTTATTTTAACTCGGCGGGTCAACCTGTCCTATCTCCGTCACATTTTTAGCAAGTTAGCCGGGGTGGGACAACAAGAAGTTGCAGGTTCAAAATTTCAATCCACCCCCACCGAAAAATGACGAGTTAAATAGATCGATCCAGTGGATCCAACCCGTTTTGCTATCCCTAAAATATATGTTGTTTAAAATATCATTAGGCCAATGTGTAAGATCCACGCAACGGGTGGACAATATGTATATACTCAATGGGTGGACAATATGTACATACGCAATGAGTGGACAATATGTATGCACGGGTAATATGCATGCACATGAGATATATATAAAAAAACATTACAACAACAACAACAACCAAGCCATATCCCACTAAGTGGGGTCGGCAACGTGGATCAACTTTCGCCATAATGTTCTATCCAGGATCATGCTTCTATCTAAATCGTTAATCTCGAGATCTTTCTAAATAACTTCTCATATAGTTTTTTTCTAGATCTTCCTCTTTTTAAAAGATCATTTTTTGAAAGAACTGTCATATCTAATCTCTAAATTAAAATTGTCTCATCTCATGTTCAAAATACATGAAGTCTCTTCTCCCTCGAAGCACTCCTCAAAGTAGTTTGTGGTAACCGAACTAGTTAATGATTTTCAACATTTTCACTTTATGATGCTAATAAATTATTAGGTTTTCTAATTTAAGATGTTAATAAACTACTAGGGTTTCTAATTTATGATGATAATAAATTACTAGGGTTAATAATTAGATGCCTTGAGTCCATATATTTCTAGCTCGATAAAGCCTGCTCCAATTAGCTCAATTATAGGTCAAACTTATACTAAAGAAAATTATAAATAAACGGAATAGGATCAATTTAAACTATGTGTTAATACATGAGAAGACTTCATGGCATCAATTGATCCATATAGCACACTCTATATAGTAGGATGAGGATTGGTTGTTGTTTTTTCTACACTATCCATGATTGCTTTGTATAAAATGAATTAGTGTATCCACATCAAAAAATTAAAAACCTAATTTCCCATTAGCAACCCAATAAGAAAATAACAATGCTTTAGCCCCTAATATGAATCCAAACCCAAAAGCTTATAGCACATATAACTAGGATAAGTGTGTTGACGCGACTGACACGTGTATTGACAAGTGAGAACATAAGACATTCAAACTCTAATGGTTTATGGAGTGGGAGTTGATGCATTACTTATTAGGTGTTGGGTAGTAGTTGATGGAACATATATCACTTTGCACAATCTTGAGCCTTCAAATATTTTTATTTACCAACTGGTGACGTCTCACTCCAATTGAAAACAACTACTTCTGGTCAACAACAATGAAGAAACTCTCATATTTGTAACATTGATTACCTAAACATATAACAGGCATAACAGTGTCATACTGTAGAAATTTAACAAGGATTACTACCTTTGACTTTTTGTTCATATGCAGCACAGTCCCGCATCATGAAGGCAGCAGCATCACCATCCAATGGATATGATGCATTGGGGTCTATAAGGAGTTGAGGAAGGAACACTTTGAACACATTAACAAGATCCAAACGAAAATAAAACTAACAATCAAACAAGGTTGAATAAAATGCATAGCAAGTGCATTTTGGGTAATATTCTTAACCATCAATATATGTGAGGTACTATATAGGTTGTTAATAATGCTTAGTTGCTTACCAAATATTGGACTCCAAGTCTGTTTAATGTTGAGTATAACAACTCAAGCGCACAGCCGCAACAGCTAATATAGGTTCCATGGAGAACAACAGCTAATAAATTCTGTTAAAGTTAACCTCATTGAGGAAATTGAGCAAACAATTAAGCTACAAAATTGAAGAGAACAACACCAGATGAACCAATGGATGGAAACAAGAGATGCAAAAAAAGAAATTACTGTGTTTAGGTTGATGAAATTCCAGAAAGAAATCTTGCATGCCATCATTCATCATCTCCGCTTTGTAATCAGTCATCATCCTGATTCACATAAATCCAACATAAACGAATTAGAAAAGTATTAGAAATTGAGAAATGAAAAAAGTAAAAAGAAAAAGAGATAGGTTTATCAAATCCATGGATGGGCGTTTGGTTGGAGAAGACATTCTCTCTCTTCCATTAGGGTTTTAGTTTAGTAAGTGAGGTAGGGGTTTCTTTTCTGAGATTAGGACTTTTCTTGTGGTTAGGACTTCGGCGTAGCCACAAGAATTCTTTACTTAATCCACGGGTCGATTCTCCATTTTAAGAAACAATACGGGTTGGTTTTAACAAAGATGATCAATGGCAATGCTAGTGGTAAGCCTCACTTTTTAAGACTCTCTCAAACACTTTTTTCTTATTGATTAAAATATGTATAGATCCTTCGTTTTAGAAATGAGTTCCACATAAAAAAAAATAGAACTCACTTATAGTTAAAAAAAAGTATTCTTAACATTTCTATTATTTCTCTTTTTTTAAGAAATATGTGATATCGGAAATTTGAATAAAAAAACAAATTTTTCAGTAATGAATTCAAAATTGTATAAATAAAAGACATATGTTGTTAAGGAAAACATCTTACAATGCCTTAGTTTTTGTTTAAAACAGAAGTGTATTTTAACGGGGTGAAACCTCATATAGAGTTTCGGCTTCTTGAGGGCACTTCATGTCTCACCTTCTTTAAATCCAAGTTGAATTATATACTACCTAACACCAAGAACAGAAAGGTGAGTAAAATCGAGTTTCGTGCAAACTGAATTGATGTTGATGGAAAGGTGAAATACGAACTTATTAAGTTGAAGAACGGTGAAGATCTGAAAGTTATGTGGAGAATATTTCATCGTAGGCTAATTAAGTTATGTGTTAAGTTATGTTCATCTTTCAAACATGTAATCGACAAAATATTATGTGATAAAAAGTACGGTGCTAAATAGCTTGAGTCATAAAATATATAAATAATACAAATGTAAAATCAAATATCAAAATAACCCCCTCCCCTCATGGGCTACGTGTGTTGCCTGCATTAATCTGGCATAAACCTCATTGTCTAAATTTATCAAACCCATGAGGTTATCCATAATAACAGTGATCATCTGCAGACGCTGTTGGTCATCAATATCAGGTGGAGGTCGTGACATGTGATAACGAGAAAGCGCATCGATTATATCGCTAGATTTCATTGACGTTTTATCGCGTATTCACCGTTTTAACACTCGATTTCTCGAGTTTTTCTTACTATTTTGCAGGTACATCGTTATGTGAAGCCGAATCATGAATTAAGAGAAAAGGAACAAAAGAGACCACAAGGAGATGAAGAAAGGCAGAAGCCTGCAAAAAGACTGCATAATTTGTTGCAGCCACGGTCGTTACAAGGGTGTCACGACCGTGACACCCCAATTTGGGCCATCACGACCGTAAGGGAGTGGTCACGACCGTGACACTTAAAATCCTCAAATTACGAACGTGAAGACCTTGTCACGCCCGTGATAAGGATAAAACTTGGTTTTGACTCAGACTACGTCAAGGCACCACTGAAGACCATTTCTCCTCTTATTTCTCCTCAAGGCAGCACGTGAAGACGACTTCTCCCATTTTTGTTGCCACGTTCCAGCATTTCCTCAACAACTTCAGCAAGGCCCATGCAACAAAGGACCAAGACTCCAGCCCATTAAAGGCTCTATAAATAGTACAAGCTCTGTGAACTCAAGGACAGACTTCATTATCCAAAATTCCTGTGGAAGCTCTGCCGAATTACCTTACGAACCAGCATTTCCATTCCAGCATTATTTTATTTTCTTTCTCGTTTTATTTGTATCCAAACCAACCGTATAACAATTTCCAACATTAGGGAATTGTTATACATTTATTTGTTCTAAACCTTCAGCATTCGTTATTTTTAATTTCCGCCTACTCCAAGCTTTCCGGTATGTGGAAGAAGGAGTCTGCTCAAATATTTGTTAATCAGGTTTTTCAATTTATTGCAATTTAATTTAATTATAATGTCTATTTATTTTTCCGCCATGAGTAAGTTATTATTTAATTCTCTGTATGGTTCAACCTCGATGAGTAGCTAAACACCTTAGGGCGGTATGTAGTTATAACAAACTTAACCGGTAAAATATA